CGGGTTGTTTCTGCTGTGCCATAAAACTTTTGAAAATCATTTTTTTTTAAATTTAATTTTTAATTTTTAATTTCTTCACCCCTTCTAAATCAAAATTCATCCTCTAATATTTTAGTCTCGTTTTTAAGTTTTATTTTGGATTTGAAACCCCTTCTAATTTGAGACCAATTATTAATACTTTATAAGCTGACAGCGGTTAGACGACATAAATAAAATATCATTTCATTAATATTTATTTTTATTTTAATAATAATATAAATTATTATATTTATTTAAAAATAAAAAAAAATATCAAAATTAAATTTAAAATTATTTAAGTTATAGTATATAAATGTTTTAAAGCAATTAATAAATTTATTATTTATAAAATATAAAAAAACGCAAAATCATTCAACAATTTGCATTATAGAATACAAACTCTCAAATTTAAAAAGCAATCTTTGATCAATCTAAGACAAATAATCTACATCAATAATTTAATTTTTTTTTCAAAAAGGTAAAAGGATTATCCATAACTGATATTAGTGTGCTTCCTATGTTTATGTTTTTAGAAAGAGAATGATAGAGAGTTCCTATGTTGCTGAATTTATTTTTTCTGTTGGTTTGTACAAGGTGAAAATGAAGCAATTCCAATAAAGTCAAGAAAAAAATCCAAACATGTTTTTAAGTGAAACAATGTAGGAAGATTGTTAAAGGACCAAAAGGTTACGAGATGTTGATTTTAGCTTTGATGAATGGAAATGAAAAGTCTAAGGTTTAGATGCAGCAGTGGAAGAAGAAGGTGGAAAAATATTTTAGCTTCATGGATCAATGATCTTAGCTTTGATGAATAGAAATAAAAAGAAGGTTTAGATCTACCAAAACCAGTTCTTCACCGACATTCAAAAACCCAACAATTGAAGGATTCAATTTGGTATTTAGGTTTTAATTTTAATTGAGTTTATTGAAGAGGATGAAAGTTTCAATTTGGGTTTTAGAAATTTCTGAATTTTTTTGGACTTATTTGTAAAAGAGAATGAAAAAGATAAATTTCATTGAATATGAAAAAATGAGTCTTGTAGAGCGTGTTGGTTCCAAGGGGAAGAAGAAGAAAGAAGGTACGATTAAATTGAGTTTTTATTTAAATAAAATAATTTAAACTATTAATAAAATAAATAATAATTTTAATGATGTGGATTTAAATTTGAAATATATGACAATGACATGTTCTAGTGTCATGTCATTAAAAAATAGTTTCAAATTAAAAAAGAATTAGAAATTAAAAAGAGATTAAAATTCTGATTTTTAAAATGAGAGAATTAAAATTCAAATAAATGATAAATAAAAAAAATCAAAATTACAATTAAACCTTAAAAAATATAAAAAATATAATTCAAGTTATGTCGTATTATACTAATCAGAGTTTTCTAAATTAAAAAACCGTTGCTTTGTGAAATAAGTGTCTTATTCATTGTCAATAAATTAATGCGTTATTATTACTTCAATTTTATTATTTTTTTTGTTTTTCAATTATTATTTAAAAATTTAAGTTTAATTTTATTTACTTATTAATTTTTTTAATATAAATTTTAATTCAAATTACTTAAATTGATATTCTAAATTAAAATAAAATTTTGTGTAACAAAAATTGTGAGATTCAATATAACTTTTTTAGAGTTGTACTGTTACAATAAAAATTAGATGAATTGTTTTAAAATGATGTGTATAATAAAATTTACAAAATCACTCAAAGATAAGTTACACTATTAAAGATACTTTTAGTTACTCGAAAGAAAACAAAATGAATGTATATTAATTATTAACATTTACAACTATTCTTACTATCGATAAATAAAACATACAATTAAATTGACTGATACTACACAAATTAATAACAGCCCAACACTAATGCAAGATGGGTCAATTGAAGAAAATGTTAAGACTATTTCTTAACGGATCTTATATGTTTTTAATGTACTACATAAATATTTACAAATGCTCTTTTGTTTTTAGTGATACATTTTCGAACACATTTCTTACACATTTAATAAATGTCATTTTGAGAGGTGTCCTATAAATTGCGTTTTTTTCGAAGACGCACTTCAGGAATATTTTAAGAAATATCTTAATTATTTACCAGTTCAGTATAAATTATGGAGTTGGAATTATGGACAGGATTTTGAAATTTTTGTCATCTTTCCATGTTAGATATTTCTAAAGATACATCTCCGAAAATATCTGATAAAAAGAAGCAGCTGCATGATCACACAACCATTGTTCCATAGTTGGTTTTCAACCAAATCCTTCACAAAAAACCCTTTATTCTCAATCTATTTTTTCACTCCAAATCTCCATTCTGTTGGTTCATCATATCATAGGGAGTAAAAGAAGATATAATTTCAGGTAAAGATCTTTCATTTTCTCCTACATTACTCATATTAATCATCCTTTTTTTTTGAAAAAAGTAGTGTTGTGTCCGGAAATGTATCACCGAAACATGTACGAACTTCTCTGGAGATGCATTTTCGGAAGTTGTTTGTGTTCATTTTCCAAATTTGTCTTCAGCAATATCGCTTATGTACTGTTATGGTTTTAATTGTTTTTATTAGATATGCTCCACCCCGATGTTTTCTCAAAACAAGTTGTTTCTTCGAATGTCTAAGGTGTTGTTGTGAAGGCGGTAGATATTGGCAACCAATTTAAAAACAAGCAAAAGTTTAAATCTCGTTATCAAATACTTCAATGGATTCATATGGAGGCCTTTAAACTTGGATTTGGTGTGGTTATCAGAAGGTACGATAATAGTTTAGATAGAAGATGCGCTTTTGTGACAATGACGTGCGAAAGAAGCGAGAAATATATAACTCTTCTCCGTAATTTTAAAAGAGACGACACCAGTTCAGGAAAACGTGAGTGTCTGTTTAAGGTATGTGTCACATGTTGGCAAACAAAAAGTGGAGATTTAATGTGATATGTGGTTTGCATGACCATGATTTGTGTTTTAAATTATCTGGTCATCCTAGTGTGTGTGTCGGCTCATGCCGGAAGAGAAGGAATATATTGCTGACATGACCTTGAATCTGGTTTAACCGAAAAATATACTTGCAACATTGAAATATAAACGACCCGAAAATAAAGCCAGTGTATAATATTCGGTACCTCATTAACAAGGCGCTTGTGTGGGATAGAACTTAGATGCAACAACTCTCGAAATGGTTGGATGATAATAGTTACGTGTCTAGGTACTTAACATGTAAGGATGTAGTTACTGTTAGAGATATATTTTGGACTCATCCTTATTCCATAAAGTTGTTCAACATGTTTTCTTCGGTGTTCATGCTTTATTCAACCTACAAGACCAACAAGTATAGACTTTCATTATTGGAGATGGTTGGTGTTACCTCAACTAAGAAGACATATTTTGTTGGTTTTTTATTTCTTGAGTGTAAAACAGAGGACAACTTTACTTAGGCCTTAGAGGTTGTTGCAATGAGAATCGAATATCAAGCTATTAATTAACTTGAATCACAAATCATGAAGTTCACCAAATTTGAGCTCATGAGGCATGCAGATGTAAGAGCTATGTGGAATACGCATTTCCGTTTCAAAACAAAAGTTACGCTAGAGTTGGAAGCGACGATTTCAATATCTATCGAAGATATTGCAAAAATGTTGAAGCGTCCACCTAGAGATTAAAGTGTTATGTTGCATTTATGTTGAAATGATCTATGAAATGCTTTTTTTATTTTATGAATGTTAATTTCATTTTGAAAATTTATATATTTTTGGTTATGCTACTGATGTGTCTGTGTTACAGAAATATAACTACGAAAATATTCTAATAGTATGATTTCTAAAGGGTGAAGAGTGATACAACACAAACTGATAATGGCCCATCACTAGAACAAGATGGGCCAATTTAAGAAAACATTACTGTTGTGGAAGACCCAATAAGAAAGAAGGCCCAACACTTAGAAAGAGAGAGTCCAATAAACCTATTTGAATGTCAGACCATGAGCGTGAAACAAAGAAGAATCCCTAAATAATTAAGGAATTTTATTTCTCATTATGTTATTCCATTTTTTGCTTTTTATGCAAGTTTGTTATGATCTGCATTTTATATGATGTATTTGAGAAGCATTTGTGTTTATGTTGAATGATAAAGAAGATTATATTCTACCTCAAAGTTAAAACCTCTATTCTTTTTAAACATCTAAAAGTTTAGACTCATTCGAAGAGTCTTTTCTATTTGTATACAATCTAAAATTGTGTAGCTTGTATCATTAACACATTTTAAAATATAATGATGTAAATTATTATAGTGATATTTCATAAAAAAACAAAAAATTTATGAGTTAAAATGATTAAATACTTTCACTATAAATAAATGAATAATATATGTTAAGCGTGCTTATTATAAAAAAGCATTGTGATGTTATTATTATATTAAATGTTAAATATGTTCATTCAATTTTATTCCTCATAAATATTCATTCGAATAATAATTTTCATAAAAACATTTGGCGATAATTAAGTGTTTATTTTTTTTAATAAAAGCTAATATAAGAAATCAGGTAAAAGACTTAGTTAATATCACTTTAAAAAACACCTTATATTACAAACTTCAAAATTACTAACGAAAAACTTTAAAAGAACTAATATTGTTCAAAGAAATTTGTTATAAAAACCAAAATTAAATTATGAGTTATTTATGACAACCCATCGATAATTAACTAATACTAATCACAAAATTACTGAATACACATATTTGCTTAAAATAAATAACAAATAACTAAAAATAATTAAACTTTTGTTGGTAAGGTTAATAACAAAATTAAGTCTTTAAATAACGCGCGATTGCAGGGGTTTATGTTCGCCGTTTGATAAACGCTACCATACACATCTCCTTCTCAAAATTCCCAACTCTCCGCCGGAGCCATCTTTTCAACCGCCGCCATCTCTCCCTTCCGCCCTAACCAACCTAGGGTTCTCTCTCCGTTCTATTTCACCACTCTTCAGCAATGAGTTTTGGAGCTTCCACTGAAATTTCCCACTATCTTGCAGTAGCATCGGTTAAACCTAATTCTCGCTGCTGTCAATGCGCCACCGGAATCAGCTACAGTTTGCACAATGCAATTGGCGGTTACAACGGCGTATTGTCGAAGATGAAGTTGAAGAGGAACGATAACAGAGTTGTTTCTGTTAGTGCTGACGGAAGTGGTAAAGGACTTACGTATAAAGACGCCGGTGTTGACATTGATGCCGGTTCTGAACTTGTCCGGAGAATAGCTAAGATGGCGCCTGGGATTGGAGGCTTCGGTGGTTTATTCCCCCTTGGTAAGCCTTTTTCATATTCCTTGTTTAGATTCATTTTTGGTTGAGACAAAAGTGATTGTAGAAACACATGTATAGAATTGATTTTTTTTTTATTTGTTTAAATTGTTTAATTTGTTGAGTAAGTAAAAATTGATTTTGTCTCTAGAGATATTTATTGCCTTCAAAGCTAAAATTTGGAAGTTTTGCGTATATAATTGATTAAGCTTCAATGTGAATGCATTTATGATCTGTTTGGATTGATTTATTTGTGTTTATTAAGTGACTTAGACCCTTGCAAGACTTTTTGGAGAGATTATTGAAACAAATTATGACTACATATTCATAAGTAATTTTCAGTTTATTTCCATAAACCTTGGCTAGTTTATAAAAACAACTTACAACTTATGCAAATGTATTTTGACTTTTTATTATAGAAATGGCTTATATATAAACATTAATATGATAAGCATTTAGTCATTTTTATTTGTTTAATTTCGCCACCACGGAAGTAACCAAACTCTCAATCACTTTTATTTGTTTAGTTTCTGTTTATTGGATATTGATTTGGCCTGTTTTGATTTTGATTTTGAGCAGGTGATTCATATCTCGTTGCTGGTACTGATGGTGTGGGGACGAAGTTGATGCTTGCTTTTGAAACCGGCATTCATGACACTATTGGGATTGATCTGGTAAACTTTTTGGAGTACTATTTTTTTTATACTGGAATTGTATATTTCTGTTGCTTAGGGCACAAGTTTAACTGTTGTTTTCTGTTTAGGTTGCAATGAGTGTCAATGACATTGTTACTTCAGGGGCAAAGCCTTTGTTTTTCCTTGATTACTTCGCTACAGGCCACCTTGATGTAGATGTTGCTGAGCAGGTAATCGGTGTGCTTCTAGCTGGTTTGTTTTTGTTTGGTTCGGTTTGAAGTTTCATTATGCTATAAATATGCTTATTCTTTAGTTAATTTCCACCTTTTCAGGTTATAAAAGGAATTGTCAATGGTTGTAAGCAATCTGATTGTGCTCTTCTAGGTGGAGAGGTATTGAAATATTTGTGCTTTTTTTTATTATCAGTATATAACTGGATGCCTTGTAGTGTAGTTTTGCCAAGCCACAGTCTCTGACCATTCAAGGTTCTTGTTTTTTGTAAGCAATCTAGTTAGGTGCTTCTTGTTTTATTGCACATTACTTATAAGACCTGTTCAATTGCTTCTTGTTATTTTATTCGCTGCTTCCGGAATCTAAATTTTTTCTAATTGACATTTTATTCAACGCACGTTTGATTATTGCAATCTTACAATGTAAAATATATTGAGCTCATAAACATATTAGATACATAATCTCTTATTTCACATCCTCAACTGCGTGTCAGTATAAATATGGATGAAGGTAGAATGTACTTTTTACGTATTTCGTCTCGACTTTAATTAATTCTGTACACTTCTCAGACTGCAGAGATGCCTGGTCTATATAAAGAAGGCGAGTATGATCTCAGCGGTTGTGCTGTTGGCATTGTAAAGAAGGAGGATGTAATCAATGGGAAGAACATTGCCGTTGGTGACATTATTATTGGTTTGCCATCCAGTGGAGTTCATTCCAATGGCTTCTCACTTGTAAGAAGGTTGGTTTTCTAGTATGGAATCTATCAAAATTTATAGAATTATTAGTTTTTGAAATGTACTAATATTAACATCTTTACAGAGTGCTTGCTCAAAGTGGGCTTCAATTGAAAGATAAACTTCCCGGCAGTGACATTACAATTGCTGAAGCTTTGATGTCTCCGACTACTATCTATGTCAAACAGGTCATTTATCATTATTTTGACGGTCTTTACTTTTTTTTAACCCCCTTCCTTTTTGATCTGTTAAACAAATTTTCTTTCTCTTGAAACAGGTGCTTGACATAATCAGCAAGGGAGGGGTAAAGGGAATTGCCCACATCACTGGTGGTGGTTTTACAGATAACATACCTCGAGTTTTTCCTGAAGGCCTCGGCGCTCTTATACATGAAAACTCATGGGATATACCGGCAGTGTTCAAATGGCTTCAGGAGGTAATTCATATTCCCGACTTTGCCCAAAAATAACAAGTTAGCAACAAAGACTTTGTTTTTAATTTTTTTAGCAACAATAATATATTTTAAATTGATCTTCAAATACTTTGGAGACAAAAAAGTGCACAGTACTAATAACCTCTCACATTAGGCTGGGAAGATTGAAGATTCTGAGATGATGCGAACTTTTAATATGGGCATCGGGATGGTCCTTGTAGTTAGTCCAGAGGCAGCGAATGAAATTCTCGAAAACAGAGTTGAAACCAGTAAAGCCTACCGCATTGGTGAAGTTATAAGTGGAAATGGTGTAACCTATAGTTAATTCAGTATAAGATTAAATTATGTTGTACTATCTAAGACTTATGTGGAAATTTTCTGGTTGAGATATGAGAATTTTATAATTCATGTTGGTTTATCTGGACCTTAATAACTTTCCGTACATAAATGTTAGTTATGGAACTAACAGCAATTTTGTGGAATCGCATGTAGTTGAGTTGTTAGTTAAACATTTTTGTTTTGCTCAAGTGAAATTCATTCAGGTTCAATGAATCATATTATGGGTATGTAAACCTTAATTGTTGGTTTTTTTCCCTTTAACTACCTTTTGGCAAGAAGTTCTTCCTTTAACTACCTTTTGGCAAGAAGATCTTGGTTATCTAGTGGTGGCTCCCTCACAATTGCACCACATATGTTGGGCCTTTATTAGATCTTTTCAATCAATTTGTCAATACCAGAGACAAAAAGCCTCTCCGAGAGTTTTCTTTAGTATTTTTTTTTTGTTTCTTAATCGCGACTTTCTATGTCTAACAAATTTAACTGCAAGTGTACAGTCTATCGCGTAGTAATAATAGATATCGATTCCACAGAGACTCGTAATCAATCTAGTGTTATCGGGTGTTACGGTGTTTAGTTAGGTCGGTTTGGTTTCAAGTTGAATAATGGCGGAATAAATGCGTAAACTAAAGGGAACTAAGGTTTTACTTAAGATATGAATTTATGAATCGATATGCAATAATTTTGTTCTTCGGGGATTTGACAACTTATTGGCGTATTAAATGTTTTCAAACTTAGTTTAAGAAGAAAATAGTGATTTAGTGAGATGGTTGTTGACGCTAGTCGCAACTCTAAGGCGGAACGTATGCTTTTGCTATCCCGTTCGGGGTTAAAGTTACCTTTTGAAAATCTCTAAATTCTAATCCTTTTTAAAGCGCTTTCGTTGTTTTTAAATTGAATGTCTAGTTTTTACTATCTGGTCTTACCTCAGCTGTCGCTTGTTGGTTTGTACCTTAATATGGTTTCCCACTGTCGTGGCAAAACCACCTTAAATAGCTTCTCACTGTCGTGACAAAGATTTATTTAGAATTTTGATTAAAAACTAAAACCATAACTGAGTTTTTGAAAAGAGAAAAACTACGCCAATTATTATCAAATTCCGTCTGAATTATTATTACATATCGATTACAGTAGTTTAGCTAGACATGGAAATAGAAATGGCAATACATAAATAAAAACAGTAATTAATAATATGCATCATAATGAAAACTGAAATTACGATTAAAATTTAAAACCTGTAAAATATTCCAATTGGCCTTTGGGCAGATCCTCCACAAATGTTGGCAGGATTCTGGTCTTGGTGCCAATTGATCGTACAAGGGAAATAGAAATTACAAAATATCAAAGAATGCAGAGAAAGAACAGAGAAACAAATAAGAATAGAATAATGGAAAGGTTGCTCTGAAGACGAATTGGCAGCACTTCGTTGTCTTGAATTCGGCTCCCCTTTTCAGGTCCCAACCTCTTCCTTTTATAGAGGGAGATTATCTAACGGTTATTCCCTCAGGAAGTGGGTTTGAGGCAGAAAAATAGGAGTTAGTGGCTACACTTTTGGTCTTTGAGGGGAGAAATTGCACGTGACTTCATTCTGCCACGTTCTGGCTGCATGACGGTCGTCATGGCTGTGTGACGGTCGTCACACGCATGACGGTCGTAACAGCTGTGTGACGGTCGTCACATCAGTCAGGCTCGTTTCTGCTGGTTTTTACTTGGTTTTTCATGCATTTTTCGCTTGTTTTTGCTCCTTTTCTTCATATTGCCTTGCTTGGACATGTTCTTCGAATACCTGCATAATACTTAGACAAATAGCATGGAATGCCCCGTATTCGGAGCGAAATCGGTCAAACATTAGTTAAAACATACGTCATTTTATAGATATATTTTCGCGTTATCAAACTCCCCTAAACTTGAATCTTTACTTGTCATCAAGTAAAAGTTAGAAAAATGTGGCAAACACGCGACACGCTCCTCCCTTCCGAGAGGTTTTTCTCAAATTACAAGTTAGGAAGTCCAAGACAAAAATCGAAACAACACACAAACGGTGGTGACACTGAGTTGTAAGTCTTCGAAGGCCTCCTTTTTTATGCAAGCCCAGTTCCAATCATGCTACTGCAGCTTGGCGTCAAGTCCCTTGCAACAAGTTTTACCCGGTTTGTTCTGGCGCAGTCACATTAAGCCCGTTATCCGTATACTTTCATGGCAAGTCAACCTGTTAGTGGCTATGATCTCTTTTCTATTTCGATTCTTCTTTGCACATAAGCTTATGCTATTGATTTCCAAAGACTTTCTGTACCGTTGGGCTAAATGCTCGGGTGAGGAGCACCTAACTTAGAAGGGACATGTCTCTATACTCGGGCTATATGGCTTTTCTTCTTCATGATTTTTTTTCATTTTGAGTTAGAGATCACACACACTTATTTGCATGGGTTTCATCGCTTAGAAGCATTTAGGATGGTGCTGACTGCTTGTATAAACTACTGGGGGCTACGTTTGAGTAGGAGCTTGAAACTTCGGTACGTGTAGGTAGTGAAACAGACTCGCATAAACTGGAGGTCTAAGGTGTCAGGACGGTAATGAAGTTGTAAAAAATTTCTTCTCGGGATTTCCATACTTGATTGAACTTTGGCGTGTCCTCGTGATGCTTAAAGATTTCTTTGTATAGTCATATGAAACGCGGGGAGTTCATGTAACGAAGATAAATATATATATAAGAGCTTATCTGCCGAAACCGAAAGTTAAAATTTCTTTAAATTCGAAAAAACAAGTACATTGGAAATAACATGAGAAAGGGAAATGAAAAGGAAATAACGATCCGCTCCCACATTATCTCAATCAGTGTCCCCACTGATTTGAAGGAATGCGGAAGGGAGATACAAAGGAAATACAGAAAAAACAACAAAAATGGCAAAAATGAAAGATACTACTGATCCCGTCCTCGTCCTTTATCTCTGCCTCGACCTCTGGCTGGGGGATCACGGGCGGCGAGGTTCAGAGCCCCGGTATGGAAGATGTAATCCCGGAGACCGTCGACTCGCACAGTGAGGTGCGCCATCTCGTCAGCCATGCCGGAATGGATGTCGTGCATCATCTGCAGAGACTGCTGGATTTGGCCGGTCTGCTCTCTCTGCCATGCTTCAAATTCCGCAGCCCTGCGGTTCTGCTGCTCCATCATGAGCATCATCTGGTTCTGTTGCTCGATGCAGCGGAGGAGGGCCGCGGATGTGTCATCAGTGGCAGGACGGGGGCGACAGCGTGTGGAAGGGCCAGCGACAGCAGCTGCGTGAGAAGGCTCAGGTTGGTCGGCTCTGTCGAGCTCTTCCTGAACTTCGTCCCTGCGCTCTAGGATGTTGTCCTGTGTTGGGGCAGCAGGGGCAGCGGTGTCGAAGAGCCAGTTGGCTCTGTCTTCAAGATGCATCTAGGTAGTGCGGGAAGGCAGGATGATGCTCTGGATAGTGCGGCCGCGCACTACAGGATGATAGTGGCCATCACGGCGGGCCTTGATGAGGTGGAAGGCGCGGCAGTGGTCGGTGTCGAGGAATACAGGAGGCATCTGGCGGAGTGTTTGGAGGCGGTCGCCAAGACCGAGGCCTATGGCGATAGATGTAACGATGCCACCGAAGTAAAAAGGTTTGGCGCCGCGGTTGCAGTTGGCCTGAATGTGAGCGAAGAGAAACGGGGCAGCGTTAACCGGCTCTGAAGCGAACACACAGCGGAGGAAAAACAGCTCCTTCGAGTTGACCTTTTGGTTACTGTCACGAGCGAATACGGTGTTGCTCAATACGCGGTGGAAGTAGCGGATAGCTGGGTTATGGATATGAGTGGCGTTCAGCGTGTCCCAGCTATCTGGAGTGGTTCCTGTCAGGCTGTTCCAGATAGGGAAGGCCTCTTGGTAGAACTGGTCTGAGATGCGGCGGTGAGCATCGTCGCTGTGGGTGAACTGCAGGATGACGGCGATGCGGTCCTGGGGGACCTGATATTCAGTGCCGAACATCCGGAAGCAGGCGGTACCGTGGAGTTGGTTGGCATCGCCGGATGATGTTGTGTAGGCGAAAGAATTGAGAAACTCCAGCGTGAGTTGCTCGTAGGTGGGCTGGGGAGTGGTGCAGAGATGCTAGATGCCGGCTCTCTGCAACATTGATAACACGAAATCATATAGATATTTTCATGCATAATTCAACTAAAGTCTAACCGCTTTCGATCCGATTTCGGGTTATTTCCGTGTATTTGTCTGATGTTTTTGCAGGTATTCAACGATCACGTCTAAACAAGGCAACATGAAGAAAAGAAGCAATCCCAGATGAAATATGAACGAAAAAGGAGTGAAAACACAATGAAAAGCGCAGCAGACTGTTTTTGCTGATGTGACGACCGTCACAGATGCATGACGACCGTCACACCTTGTGACGACCGTCATGCAGGCAAAAACGCCCCACTCAGATTACACGTCAAAAGAGCAGTTCTAATTCCCATTAAGTGGTCCACTACTCCCTAAATTATCTGCCTCAAAGTCCATCATCCTCAGAGATAACCGTTGGGATTCCACTTCTATAAAAAGGGAAGCAGGGGACTTCAAAAAGGGTGCTGCATTCATACCACGAAGTGCTGCCGAATTTAATTTCCAGAGCAAATTTACTTTCCAGTTTTTATTTGTATTCCTTTCCTTTATTTCCCTTTCAATTCCTCATTTCCATTTCCGCTCTTCTGTAATACCTATTGCACTGTACGATCAATTTGGAACTAAAGATCAGAATCCTGCCAACATCTGTGGAGGATCTGCCCAAAGGCCAATTGACATTATTTACAGGTTTTCATTTTGATCGACTTCTGTTTTATTATAATGCAATTTATTATTTATTATTATTATTTATGTTTTGTTTTTCCCAATTTCATGTCTAGCTAAACTTAGGTAATCGATATGTAGTAATAATTCGAATGGGATTTGATAACTCTTGTTTGAAAACTTTCTTTTCACAAAAATAACCTATGGTC